CAGGTCAAACGTTAGTTTACAGCGAAGTTTGGAGCGAGCACGTTACATTACTTACTAAGAGGAGTTCTAAACGGTGGCAGAAGCTAGTGATGTACGGGGCAGCCAATAATTCCTACACATTCGACATGTGTGTACGTGTAGTCTCTGTTAACAGTGCAATATAACCTATCTTGACAAACTAGTCAAACTCTGAAAGCCGTTTGAAAGTTATGACATTAGGTAATTATGAGGGCTATAGAGGAATTTATCCAAACACATTAGAATACAGATCGCTAACACCAATAACAAATAATTGAAAACGGGTAGTCCATGTGATCACCAAGATTGTATCACTCAAGCAAAATGACGGAGAACGATATGTTTTGTATGCCGGGGAGAGAATGGAGTTCACTTGGGACCTCCATTCGACGCTGCGACAAACAGTTACGAAATAAGCTAAGTATTTTTATGGATGCTCCTGAGCATGGTTCCCTGAGAGGCCGCGGGCGTTTTGCGGTTGTCGGGGGTTGTTGAGAGCGGTTTTCTGGGTGGTTTTGGGTCTTTTCGTCCGCTCTCACAATGTGTCTGCTATATAAGTAATGAGCCAATATAGTGTCCGGAGTGATATGGAATGTATACAGGCATGGGGTTTAGGCGCCGTTGCGCAGCCGGTTCGGTAGTGGTCCTTATACATAAGGAAAAGGTATTAGTACTTGTCGAAAGTGGTCAGGGTCTGAAGCCCTTTGTAAGTTGTGTTGATTATGAAAGGTGCAGCTTGGCGGTCTTGATGGAAAATGAAGGTTTAACCGATCAGGCAGCAAAGAGCACCTGGTTTATACAGTAAGGTGCGATTGGAGGGGGTCACAAAAGGTGGGTTTATAAGCAATATTTCTTAATGTTTTATTCAAAATGTAGTATAGTTGAGACAGTAAGTTACAATTCAGATCAGGAAAAGAAAGGTAGAAGTTAGGTTCCGCAGCTTTGATTAAAAACGGGAAAAATAGAATCCTGTTTGAATTTACAAAAAAAGAAAAAGACGACAATCACGAAGCATCGCGGAGCCGAAGTTCCTGCCATCACTGTCATCTTCTATGCGTTTCGGACATGAAATATTATCACAAAAATTACAACCCACATTCTGAGCCATCTATAATAAACATACACCGCTGGAAAAGGAGAAAACCTGCATTTACAGTCTTATGTTTTTTTTGGCTTGTGTTCAATGTTTAGATATTTTTTGCCATTATAACTAGGGAGAGGAGCGAGGCGATGTAAAATCTAAAATAGACAGGTTGTGTGTGTGTAGGTGTTCATGATCAGCTACGACGAGCAAACAGATAGAATCGGTAAATAGTATCAAAAGACAAACAACACAACAGGTGGGTGATTGCAGCCCAAGCACACGGCTGAACCAGCAGAGGTCTGACCACTGCACCACGCGGAGAATATGGTGCCAGCGTGGGAAAACAGTTATACCTGCCACTGCAGAGACTGTTGGAGCTTTCCTGGCGACCAATCGAGCACATCCATCCGAACACAAGCCAAAATCCCACTAGATAAATTAAAATTCCTTCATAATATATATAACTATAGTTGTGATAGAACGTGCTGGTATGATGGTGGTATAAGGGGGGTTGTAGTATAGTTAAATTTATATGAGTGTTATCTCAATAATCTCCACATATAGAGTATATAAATAGGTATATACTCTGCCAATATAACTCCTCCCACAGTGATTTGAAGGTAAAAGTGACACGAAGAGGATGAATATCTCTAGGACTTAAAATATATCTTCTTGCACTGAGTAAAGGGAAGTTACACATCTTCTGTATCATTAGCACTTCAGTACATGTTGTAAAATCCACTGCATATGAACAGATAACTGCTGATCCAAGGTTTTAACCCGCAAACAATCCGTGTTTCTTTAGAAAATATGTGCTTAATGAAACAACAAAAGAAGGAAAGGAAACATCTGTGGAAAACAAAATATGCATCTAGGGTAAAGTGAATGATTCTGTAGCATAACAACATTTAAAAATCTCAACAATTACAGACACGAGCAAGGATTCTCTACACTAAGCAAGTTTCCACCTGGCTTCTCTCATACATTATTCAACAATAATTAAAAACAATTTTGGTTGGACAAATAGAAATTAACAGTCTTGATTGCATTTTGGAGTCAATGTATATATAATATTAAATAACAACACAGAAATATCTAATAAAAAAACGTTGCGCATTGGAAGAAGACACAACAGTTTATAAAGTTCCATTCAGACCCGCTTTTTGGGAAGCGAAGAAGCATAAAAAGAAAATGATATTCAGGAACACAAAATAAGTGCATGTCTATGAGGCGCCATAGAGCTTCACTTTTTGTGGAACAAAGTGTTTTTCTACCTGGCAGACCTAAAGAAATAAACAAACTAACATCAAATTAAACCCACGACATTTTTGTATACTTTTAAACACATGGAAAATGGAGTTCTTTCAGACATCACGCATGATTTTCTACACACTTCGTTCCCCTCACAACCAACGTTCAAGTGATTTCAAAATATATATATATATATATATATATAAACTGTATTTACTTTATAACTCAGTACCAAATATAAACAAACGTATACAGGTATTGATGTTGATTAGGTCCTCGATTACAAGTACTGCCGGTAGTTCTATAAAATGGTATGTGTGTGTGTCTCTTTGTGTGTGCATTAAATAAAAAGCTTAAAAACATGGCAAAGCATACCTGATAGTCGCCGTAGCACAACAGTGTTCTATAGATTAAGCTGATTACATATAAGTATAACTGAGTCAGTTTAAGCTTTATGATTAGAAACATCATATATAGCCAGTAGGTCCAGTATTCTGCGACAAGCATTATAGCACCAAACGTTTCGTCATTTGGCAAAATTCAAGCTTTAAGTGAAAGTCAAATGCTTTTGTTTAATAATAAAGTGTTACTGTGACGCCGTGATTTGTATAAAGCTAGCAATAACATTTCCCCTTGTACTTTTTTTTATTTTTTTTAATTCATCTTCCTCTCCCCCCCCCCACCCCCCACCTCACGTTTTCTTTTCTTTTTCTTAAGCGTATTCAGTAGTTTTTGCGTCCTGCTAAATCTTGGTGTGCGGTCTGTTTGGCACAATACCACAGCCCTCTTAAATTAATTATAAATATGGCTGTAATACATTAGAGTCACAAAACAGATTTTTTGGTTCCAAGATTTTTGCAGGGAAAGAAAATAAAAAATGTAAAGAATATAATAATATTTAGCGCATCTAAACAAGATCTACAGAGCAAGTTAAACATCTTCCTGTGGACAATAATGCTCTTCTTCTGTCTACAAGCACCGAGCGATATACTTTCAGATTGTGCAGAGAGCCACAGCCACTCTCTCTGCTCGCAGACAAAAACAGAAATAAAAAATTATTGATAAGACCATTATAACCTCTCTTCATAAATTAAATAATTAACATTTCGCTTTTTTAAATGATTGGCCTACCCCATCTCAAAACTACATCATTACCCTGCCCAAGTCTCCCCAACCCAAAACAGGAAATAGAAATACATCACCAAAAACCTGATTTATCATATTATTCGTCGATAGAATCTTTCTCCTGTGGGCTCTCGGCCCAGAGTTGGACACAATTTAACAATAATAAAATCTGTACATCTTGGAGTTCCCACTCTACGAAAGCTTTTCATTTTTTTTAAATCCATCTTTTTGTCGTATACTTGCACAATTAAGTAACCTCAAGGTTTGATAGCACTTTGGAGTTGATTGTTTACCAGCTAGTTTACATATATATTATAAACATCAACTTATTTTTAGTTTTGTTTCTCAAGCTTGTTTAAATTCTTAGTCCTCTTCCGGGGCAGTGCCAGCGTTGCCCTCACCCCAATTTGATTGGTCGTTGTCGGTGGGCTCCTCCCCATCCAGGTCCTCTCCTTCCTCGCCCTCGAAGTCTTCATCACGGGGGAACTCCATGCCCTCCATGCCCTCCTGCGTGGCCTGGTGCGAGTCTGCGCAGTCTGCACAGACGCCGTAGCGCCGTGATCCGTGACGGATCCCGACGCTCGCCGCCAGCATGAAGATTTTCTTACACACCATGCACTTGTACTTTTTGTCCTTCTTGTGCACCTGTAGGGGAGAAGGGGGCGGGGCAGAGAGGGTTGGGGAAAGGATGAGAGCACTTTTACTTTTTATCGCTTTAAAAAAGAAGGTACTTAAAAAGATATGCGAAAGGTCCACAGAATTCCTTTTTAACCACAACAATTATTTGGTATTTACATATCTGTTCCAGGGTTTCCATTAGCCGGTAATTACCGGTTTTTAGCTGGTAAAATGTATTATAAACCGGTAAATTCAAAATGTCTGGTAATAATTAGGGATGCTCCGATCGATCGGCCGCCGGTCATTATCGGCCGATATCCACTCTTAGTAGTTTGATCTGTGCTCTTGATAAAGGCCGATCAGGAGAGCTGGATCTGATCGATATGGACATAAACGCGAGTGAAGTGTAACCGGACGCGAGAGAGAGAGATCAGATCAGCTGCTGCATGATCACCTGAAGCCCCGCCCACTGTTTATCGAGCTGCATGAGAAACTGACGGGCTGTCAGGAGAGGGAGGGAGGGAGAGAGGATCCGTTTCTCCCGTGTAATTATTCAAAGTTAATGTAAACTTTTGAATAATGTACTTTATCTACTACAAGTAGTTTGTTTGAATGTAATAATTATGTTTTGTTATTTGTGGAATCATTTATTGAAAAATAAATCTGAATTTTTCTATCTGTTATAAACTGAAGCAATATAAAATGAGCCCCATTAACTGAGTTTTAAACATCAGCATATCCGGTCATAGTCCGGTAATTACCTGCTAACGGAAACTCTGCTACACAATTCTTATTATTATTATTATTATTATTATTATTATTGAAACATGACCAGTAAGTTTCAAATTTGTCCGGTAAAATAAATTCTGTCCGGACATTTGACCGGCGAGAAAAAAAATCATAGTGGAAACCCTGATCTGTTCATATAACATTGCTAGTATTTCTGGATCATAATTATTTAAGCATGATGACGGTTGCAAGTTTGATATTTTTCTACATAGAGAATGTGTTTTGAAAATGTCCCATTAAGCTTAATTTAACATTCAACAGATTACGTTATTATTTGATGCAGAAAACTGCTGCCTGTCATACAGGTTGTTCTGCCGGTACAACTGGTTTAGCCTCCTGATTTAAAAACACGTAATGTCCTCTCTTAGACATACTGTAGGTTTCACATCCATTTGTTGTTAGACATTTTGTGCCTCTAAGATATGTTAGAAAACCAGTATCATTGCATTCAACTTCTCACTCCCTGGAGCGAAGAGCTGCCTGACACAAAACGTGAGGCGGGGTGCAAAGATGCAAGGGTGGCCTAAGCTCTGTAGCGTTTGGCAGAAGATGGTGGCTGCGCCTCACACGGCGGTGTAAAAGAGAGGGTCCGTTGCATATGTGGACTCACCAGGGAATGTCTCTTGACGTGCTCGCGGCGGGTGAACAGCTTGCCGCAGATGTCACAGCTGAAGGAGCGCACGCCAGAGTGGATGATCAGGTGTCTCTTCAGCGTGCGCCGGTGCTTGGCGATGTAGTTACAGTGGGGGCACTTGAGCTTATTGAGGGCTAGGTGTGAGGACTCGCCTGCGAAGAGAGAGAGAAACAAAAACATTCAGACAAAGTGATTTAGAGACTTCATGTCTAAGGATTTTTGATTTAGTGTACATCATAAAAACGGTTCAATTGACACACCCACTGAGAAAAAGCATTTTTCCTGCCCTCTTTTTTCTCCTCTTAAAAAAACAATACCACATTTTACTCCTACACAATAGACTGCTTGGTCACCATATGTATTGAGACCACCATGTCTTCTCTCAACTGACACGTGTTTCTTTACTAAATAAAAAAAGATATAAGAAACTCAACCATTGTTTTCTCCTTCAGTTAGATTTATGGCATTGGAAGAACAAACCGGAGATGGACGAAGACAATCATCATAAAAGCTACATCTGCATCTATAGATCTTCTAATGAGGGAGGGGTGTGTCAGGAACCAATATCCTGTTTATCAAATCACAGAGTTAAGATGCGGTAACCATTACGGAGAATAGGACACCACAAAGGGATGTATCACAAAAAGCCTCTTTAGCAAAAGTTTGCTCAACTGTAGATGAAATAGAATACTGCACAGCTCTGTCACTGTTGCTAAGTAACTGTACGTAAGGATGCTGGAGGTCTCATTAAGGCAGTGTTACAAAGGATGCAGACACGTATTAGCAGTGAATGTAAAGCAGGTCTGTCGTTGTTCTACATGGACGTAATAATGTCGTTTGGTAGAAGATATTAAAGAATTCATCATTACCAGACCAGTGGTTGTGATGGCAACTAACCGTTTTTAAAAGAGGTTCAACTAATAACGTATTGCCTCATTATATTAAGAATATATCAATTATCAGCTTTTTTATATTACCCATAATGCTGATTATCTAGTGCATTCTGGATGTTCAGTAATATGGGGGAGCACCCGTAACATCAAACCCAATCAAATACAACACCTTTATTTATCAACCATGAAGATCGGCTTCAATAAGATTGAAAGACGAGATGTTTGTTTTTTTCATGTCTAAATGAGAGACATCAATTTGTCCTCACACAAACACAGATGTTTATGCTAAACAAACTCCTGAGGACAGCTGGGCTGACAAATAAATAAGCAACCTATTGATTCTGAAGAGCCTCCTAACAGAGTGGTAGTGCTTCAGTGTTGAAAAGGG